CAGACAATGAGTGTATTTATATATATGTATATCAAATATTTAGCTTTTAAAACATTATTAACTTGTAGACAATCTACTATTTGACATCATATCATACTTGATCGTGCCTATAAAAGTGGCATGCATTTTCATGTAAATTTATGTTTATATGAAAATATACATTATTATTAAGCATTTGTGGTCCGTCGATTAGAGACTTGAGTTTTTGTTAATGAGAATACAAAATTCCCATATGTCTTACTGTGCTTCACTAGATGACTGGCTTGCAGATTGTTCCCACAAGATGAAGTCAAAAATAACAGCAACCATGCAAATTCAACATAAACCAAATTTATTTGATTTAAATAACACTTACCGACGGCAGTACAATGGTGTTTTCCTGCATAAACCGAAATAAATACATTATCATTATTACTATTATTATTGTCTGTGTAATGATCTTGTGGGGTGTCTATAACACAGAACGTACGATAAACTCCATGACTGCTCAGAGGTGGTTAGCGATCAAGAAACACAAAAGGATCCGTGGGATAACCAGGCAGGAACTAAACTTTCCATATGATTTGCAAGGTCCTCTTTCTTTACTGAAAAGTATTGAATGTTGAATGTTCTTCCACATATCTGACTAGTTTTCCCTGCTTCACATGCCCATCGGTGTTCAAGATGTGCTAAAGTAAAGCCAAGGAAAAGCTTTGTTATTTTATTTTTATTATAGCTTGATTCCACACTGTATTTTTGGTACAAGTACGGAATTTTCAGCATGTGATATCGGTAGCCCGAATTTCGCAGGCCGACCGCTGATATCAGGTGTGCGTTGGCAGGGGATCAAACCCTGGGCCATGTGCGCGGTCGGCGAAAGTCCTAACCGCTGTGCCACCGACGCACAGATCCTGAAGGAAACAAAATGTTAAGAAATCTTTTCAAACAGAGCCTACCGGGAAAATTACATGAACCCTCAGGAAACTTACAGAGAATGCAGATATGGTCAATAACCGGTGCGCTTTGATGACAAGTCCCTGGGAAATGGTCTGTAAGCCGAAACAAAGCTGGGGCATTAGGCATCTTAGTTGGTGGGTGATTCAGTGGAACATGCAGAAGCTGAGATCACTGCTGGTGCGACTGTCGTGCACAGTCACCAAAAAAAGCAGGCGTGATGTAAATAAAGTATATTGATTTCCTCAACTGACTAGGCGGACTTTACCTCCAGGAAACCAATTAGTTAGGCTGCTTGAACTACATCGAGCTCGTTTCTGACTGCCATCGACCAGAAATAACACTCACGTTCATTGGACGATCATCTACCCTGCTAGGTCTGAGCTTTAGCCACATCGCCTGGATTCCTAAAATCCAGATCTTGTTTAACATGTCACCTAGACCTCTTTAGTTTTGTGACTAGCAGTCGTGACAGACGACAACTAGTACTTGTCATCTACGTTGACATTTCTAAGGCATTTGACCGTGTCGACCATTTACTACCAATACATAAGCTGAACTCCTTAGGAATACGTGATCCATTATTAGGATGGCTTAAATCATTCCTTAACGACAGGTCCCAAATATTTAAACTCGTGTCTATAACTTCCAAACCTAGCCCGATCACTTCTGGTGTAGTACAAGGTAGTGTCATTGAACCCTCCCTATTTACACTCTATATCAACGACATATGCGCTTGCTTCTCACATGGGAAATCATTCATCTTTGCAGATGACCTAGAAGTAGCTTGTGCATTCCAATGTGATGACCTAGGGTACTTCAAGAATGCTGTGCAGAAAGAATTAGATAAAGTGACTGCTTGGTCGTCTTTATGGAATCTACAATTTAACCATAAAAAATGTGGCTCGATCTGCTTTGGCACACCCTCAATCGACATGAAATTAACGCTTCAATCGGCTAACCTAACCAGACTACAAAGTGTCATTGACCTAGGTCTGAGGTACTCGAGTAACCTAACATTCTCTGAGCAAGTGGCATCACAGACTCAAAAGTCGAGGATGCTCTTGGGATGCATACTCAGGAACTTTCATGACAATGAAGCCAAGCTCATTCTCTACAAAACATGTGTAAGGCTACTACTGGAATTTATTATTGGTAGCACTCACACACGTGATAAGCTAAGGATGGAAAGTATCCAACGATATTTTACCTCCAAACTACGATTGTAAGAAAGACTACATCCCACTGTGCATGATCCTAAAACTTGACCCACTTTGGACAAGACGACTTACTATAAACCTAGTATTCTTCTTTAAGGTCCTACACAAAATATCATTCTCAGACAATATGGAAATACAATTCCCACAGGAAGGCTCTTACGATCTGCGTAACCGAACTTGCACAGTGACAATAAAAGCCTTTAAGTCAACACTCCGTGGAAACTTCTTCACAGTCATGTATTCTAAAATATGGAACAGCCTGTCCCTAAATGTCAGAAATTCTACTTCGGTTATAAGTTTCAAACGCTCTCTGTACAAACTGTTTCACTCTACTGACTATATTAACGAACTATTTCTAGAATGAATCAATTATTAGTTTACTGCAGTACCCAAAAAAACACTTAAATACCTTTATTACTCCAAAAACTATAAATAAAGTAGTCGTATAGATGCATAAAAAGACTAGGTGGAAATAAATATTTATGTCTACTAAATTATAACGTACAATGGATATAGACATATATGTTCACCCCCACATACTTTTTCTTTGCTCTCTTGCACTTTGCTGCTCTCCTTTTCTGTTGTATTTGCTTTGTAGTAGAAGTTGCACAGATCTACAACCAGATTGAAGCTGAGAAACAATTGAAATCACCTACTCATATATCATCCTTCAAGGTTTGGCTAGTAATGACTCAGCATCCTTGACAAAATCTACTGTCACCATAACAAGACGCTGTACAGCATCTTATATAAGCACTGTCAATGCTCTAAAATGGCTTACATACAGTTTTCTACGTGTTAATCAACTTACTCATACGAAATAACCATGCAGTGACAAATGGCAGGCTTTGGCTGACGTGGGTGCAGTAAAACAAATCGGCCTGACAATAACTAATATTAATCTGCATTCGGTAGAATTCACATCTGTGTTACTTACAATAAAAATGCTGAGAAAATCATATAAATAAATCACTCATTTAGAATTAATACCCAATTTGGATATAAATCAAGAACAAGATACGATGCCGCACACAACAAAGTTTTATAGAGGAACTGACTTCAAGCTTTATTTTTTCCCCAAATATTTGTAATCCATTCAACACATACTTGGGTACTTTGTTAATGCGAAGACAATATTTCTATATTTCTTAGTGTGCTAAATTGAATGACTAGCTAGCAGATTTTACTCACAAACTAATGTCAGAAAAGACAGCAACCGTGTAATTTCACCAAAGGAAAACACACCAAAGTTGTCTTCAAATTTAACCAATAATATTATTTCTCTGGTACGACCCTTCAGAGAAACTTCAGTCTCTCGAAACTGGTGCAAGTAGTGAGGACGAGTACTTTGGACTGTGAAATGGCTTTGGCAGAAATCAAGATTTCAGCCCTTAAACTGTGGCCACAGTTGCTCAAGAGGCAAGTAAACAACAGCTTACCCGAGGTTATACGCACTGTGGAGTTGCATCATCAGGCCACTTGTTAGCCTATTTTTGAGAGTGACAGACAACTGACTATCTTACAGCTGAAATTCAGCATTGAAGCTTCTGAAAGACACTAATCTGGTTTAGAAAGTGGCTTTTCCATCAAAATAATTGTTCAAATTATGGCTTGTGATACTGTGGAATAATAGTGGCACTTCTGAACCTTTAGTTTCGATGGTAGGGCCGAAGGCAAGTGGGGGGGCGCCAAACCCACAGATGGGGGTTCACCATTCAGCAGATGAAGGAGGCCTTACAAATCAAAAAGATGTGGTTCATACTTGGTTACTTATCTAATCCTACTAAATTCCTAAATTACTTACTACATCTGAGTGGCCGTAGCAAACTGTGTCGTGGGGGTTCTACGCTGGTATGAATTAATTCGAGGATATGACGTCCATGTTTTGATAGTGATGTAATAGTTTCGAACTTGTGTGTATTTCTGAGTAGTCCACTGGTCTCTGGTGGGTACAATGGGCGATGTCAGGTCGATAAAATATGGTGGGAACTCGTGATCGTGTTAATATGATGAGTCATCGTGAGTAGAGTAATTCTTTTCACCTATTAGTACTCTGTTAAGGTGGAGAAATGAGGTATTATTAATACCTGTAGTGGCGGTGAAAGACGTTTAAAAGTCACACAAACAGATAAACAGACAAATAGGAATGACAAATCTGTGGGGGTGTCAGGTATGAAGATGCCAAGTTTCCACAGTCCTCCTCTCTACGCACGATATTCAAGGACAATTACTCTGTCTGTTATTTTCATTCTCAAAGTTGCCAGAATGTAGCCGGTTTCTCTATAGCCACCTACAATCATTGGTTAACTGTCTGACCATCTTCGATATCCATGTGGTTATATCTGATTATATGTGTATATAGTCCGATTATATTACCATCACTTTTTGACGTAAAATGTTAGAACAGAAACCCGGTGTTTTATATTTGTGTTTCCACACATGTTTGTGATGTTATATTTCTTCCTTGGCTTTACTTAATGATGCACATCATCACTCACATCATTCCCCCGGGCAATCCTGAAGTCTTACTTAAAAAAGGCCCTGAGCCTAATACAACGCCACCACAGCTCCAGGCCACCCCTATGCCCGAATAAAAATTTAGGAATTTTGCTGAAGTTTTTCGTATCTAACAGACATACCAGAGGTCTGAAATCTCAGATATCGAACCTTTGCTTATCAGCCAGTAGTGAAAAACTGATGTAATTCGTATGAAAATGTGGAGTTATGAGAATTAGACTGTTCAGTGACAAGCCACCGAATTGATACACCACTAGAGATGGTGACTTTTGAATTGAAGAAAAACAGCATTTTGTTTTAGTGCATCGACAGCACAAACTTCTTTACCTCGTAATAACCGCAGTGTTTTGACTTTTTTATATGAGGAAAGAAAAACGTCGAAGATCTTATAAGGAATATTTTCATAACTTAGCACTAGTTTTAATTCCAGAACACGGGGTTCTAAGATTATGTCCTAAACGTCAGCCAAATGATGGAGCCCGAAAGCTTACACTGCTGGCATCCAAGAAACAGAAACTTGAATCACTGGAAAAGGTTTTAGCTGGGGCCACTTTATCAGTAAATGAAGTTCTCCGATATGAAGTAAAGGTAGGTGGCATAATATGCTTAGAATTACACTTCCTATAAAGGATAGTGAATTTAATCCAATTAGCTTTGGCAGCCACACATATGTTCTCAGACCAGGTTTATCAGCTAAAAGATTCCTCATTCAGTGGGCAAGCCGATTAGATTACGAAGATCTTGTTAGAATATTCTCTAAGGGTAAGCACATTTCGCATTGTTCTCTCAGTATGCAAGTTTTTATTACCTGCGTATGTTCTTCGGATTTAGAATTTACATTCGAAATAATTCAATGTGAGATTTTGTGCTTTGTTTTCAACGTTTCATGAAAAAGCCTACTCACTTATATGAAACACGTTTTAATGTAGACATATTTTTCAAGCAGTCTTTTCTGGTAGTTTCCTACTATTTGGCACTATTGGTTGCTGAAATATGACGTAATTTGATAAGAGTGTTGGTCAGATACTTTTATTTCTAAATGTACCTTCACCGTCATTAGTTCTTAGAGGTGTAGAAAAAATAAGATAATTATTTTAGTACTCCCGCAAGCCAACTGCTCTTATATGAGTCGTAATTATAATTATATGTAAATGGCCTTAATTTATAAATGGTTAAGGATTTATGTGGTCATTATGACGTGCATCATGGCTTCGTTCACTAACAGTTCATATACCATAACATTTTACGTCGGTGACACAGCGGTTAGGACGCTCGCCGACTATGCACATGGTCCGGGGTTCGATCCCTGGCCGACGCACTCCTTTTTGCCGAATGGTTAGGGTGCCAGCTACAGTGTCCTAACCAAAAATGTGTAGACCGCCACCCAATATCTAATACTGACGTTCATGTAATTCATTGACTTTTGGGATTACTCATAGCTTCAGGTTGTACATTTCTATCAAGTTAGTGTACAAAACTATTAGTCGCTCAAATGACGTCTTCTTTATGGTAATAAACAGAGGGTTACCATGTGATGTAAAGCTAAAAGTTAATCATGAATTAGAAAATAAGTTCATTCCTCATTGTAAATTTTTTTAATAACTCCTAAGTCACTCGTTTTTACCCATTTTGGGTTTGATACCCTCCGGACTGCCTTAAATTGGGACGTTTAAGACGACCAACCGCGTACTAAAATTTCGCTTTGGCATTGTTAATGTATGTTCTTAGAGATGTTGGGTCGTGTTGTGTATTATCCAAATAGTTCTATTCATAAAGGTGCAAATATAAAAGACTATATGTAATCTGCCAATTCATGGTAGGACAGACATAGCAAATATATAAATAACAAAGATTATTTACAGTAGGGAATAATACATTTTGTCAATCCAACATGATGATGGCTAGAGGCTTGCTTTAGTAAGTTAGGAAGAGTTTCATTAACTATTCACAAAGACTGTGAAGACACAGGCCCTGGCTGTTTCGACATCTTTGTTTCACACAAACATATAATTCTTCTTCCTACTTCTATATTAAAAGTTTTTATTTATTTACTTCTTTTTGAGTTAAAAAAGTTTATATTCACTACAGGCTGTGGTTGCTTTTCATCGATTCACTCATATAGGTAAAGTGTTTGTGAATTTCAACACAGGGTGATCATATGCACAAGGCTTGACTTTTATTTACAGTTCAATTACTTTTAGGGTTAAGTGGTCCACAAGGATAGCATCCCAAACACGACTGATAAGCTTTTCCTTCTTTTGTTAATCCTAAGGGCATCCAAAGGTTTCGAAATTTTATCTTCTGAGATTTCTCACACATATTACACTTTAAGTATTTTTCACAAAGAAAAACAAGGGTTGACATGATGTAAAGGGTTGTATAAGAAAGATTTTCAGACGGAGTGATGCAGTGACAGCGAACCGTGGATCAATAATTGAACTAGCCAGACTGAATCTGCATCATGTCACTCTCTTTGTATAGATCATTGCAGTCCTACACTTACCATGTGGTAGTTATTTCAGGCGAAAGGAAAGAGTAGCCCAACTAAGACATTTTGAACATACGACAAAGCACGCTTTCTAAATACACCATAATTTGGTTATTTTCCTTCCAAGCTGTACTGAAATTTCTGTAGAATGACATATATGACGACATATCTTTTAACATATACCATACCGTATAACTGAATACGTTCGTTTCTTACGGCAGTGTAATGGAAACTTGTCTGCTACTCACATTAAAACTTTTGTGAGCCACAATGTCATCTCATACTTCGTAAACAGCTGCGCCATCTTTATTCTAATTTGTCTGCAAAAGCCAAAAGAAAGAAAGGGAAATTCAAAAATATCTTGTGGTGATTTTGAAGCAAACCTGCCAGAAAGGCATATATAATGTGAGGATTTTCGAAACCATCCAATAAACTTCATTTACAGCACCAAATCCTAGATTTCTCACTTGTTAGTCCTGGTTGTCTATTTTCGCTTGAGATCCTAAACACTAAAAGCCTTTTTTTAGAGATACTTCGTTTACAGATATGAATATACTGCTCAAGTGTATTCTTGAGAAATAGAAGATAAAACTCAACAGTTTTATCGACTGTCCTAGTTCATTTTATGTGTTTGAAACAAAAAATATGACCTAGTCCTTCAACATTACTTATGAATAGATAGCTCACTAAAATGTTTATTCATTTGTCTAAATTTAAGTTATTGGGTGGTTGGGGGCGATTGGAAGGAGGTCTTTGACTTAGGTTTCATGATTGCTCGCACTCATCAGCAAGGCGTATCTGCAATCCTAAAGGAACTCGTATCCCTTCTGAGATTCAAATCCGTGTCATGTCAAGCTATCACTGACTTTAATGTTTTTACTCTACTCCACTCTAGAAAACGGGGTATTGTTTATTAATATTAGGATAAAACTTAGCCATTGTGGTTGACTATAACTCCATTCTGGATAAAATTTTATTTCGATAAAATCACGCAGTATTGTTATACAGTTATATTCACTGATGACCATGTTTTGAGCACAAATTATTGCTGTTCATAATCATACCAAGGTATTCGTGTAACTTTCTTGTTTCATTTATATACATGAGTAAAAATTGATGATTAGACATTAGAATAAAATCAATATATGATGAAAAGTGCATTCGGAAATAATACTATTAGTGTTACCAATAAAGTACGACTAGACGGGAAATAAGATGTTTTTTTATAGTGAAATAAGTAACTTGTTAGAGTGCTGTAATGTGAATTGAATTGAAATACATCTTACCATTATTTATTATTCTCCGATTTGACCGGTAATAATATCTTCCATATTTCGGGTATTTGCGTTGAGTCATTTATGTTTCATGTGTTAGGTGTAGACTCAGTGAACCAGGATTCAGTAATCAATCTCTCTCTCTCCACCTAACTATATTACTTTTTAGAATTTTGAATCTGTCTCACCAGCCCTGTTGTGTGGTTGTGCATTAATGGATGGAGAGCGACTGCGGAATTTTCTTCAAAATTACTCATCCTCGTAGGATCAATCATTCTAACCTTAGTTAAATTTTTATATTCTGATAATCTCACCACCCGTGATCCACTAGTTTGACCTATGTAGTTGACTTAACTCACAGTCATTGTTAGGTATTTTTTAAATTATATTATATTGTTTAATTGGGTCCACGGCGTACTTTAGTCCACAGAGCTTGTCCTGTCTGAGTGAGTTTCTGAGTTTGAATGCCATTCTTTTTCCTGTTTTATTGAGAATCCTACCACGTAGGGTCTCAGATGTCCCCTCTTTATATGCTAAAACTGTAGATGTATTGTATCCTTTCTTATTTATGTTATAGTTACTAGTTTCGCAGTTATTTTTATTTTGCTTTTGATGTGTTTTGATCTTCTTCTATTTGTTTCATTTCATCGTTTAGGCTTTCTGATATACTACTCAGTGTTGTCATTGCTGGGTTTGTTAGACAGTTAACTAAGCCTGCCTTCACAGATAGATAAGGGATGAGATGAATTAAAGTCCAAATATCTATTAGAATGCGGGGGCTTCTTATAAACACTAGTTTGCAGTTTACATTGTTCCGTTCATTTTATTTTACAATCTAACATAGCTAATTCTCCTTGTTCATTTTCCGATTCAAATGTGAATTTTATTCCCCTTACTAGTGAGTTTATATGTGTCAAGAAGCTAGAGACATGTTTTGTTTTCAACACTGTGAGTAAAAGTGTCATCCACATATCTCCACCATATCTTTGGAGTTGGATTAAATGTATTAAGGGCGTCGGTGGCACACTGGTTAGGACTCTCGCCGACCATGCACATGGTCCGGGGTTCGATCCCCTGCCAACGCACACCCGATATCAATGGTCGGCCTGCAAAATTTGGGCTACCGATATCACATGCTGAAAATTTCACACTTGTACCGAAAATACGGTGTGGAATCAAGCTATAATAAAAAAATAAATAACAAAGTATTTTCCCAGCTGTCCATAAAGATTTCTGCTACGAAGGGGATATGGGTGATCCCATCGCTACACCTTCAGTTTGTCTATATATTCTGCCATGGAATTTAAAGATAGCAGATGTGAGGCATAACTGAATTCCTAAAATAATTTCTTCAGTGGGAAGCTATGTCCTATTTGGAAGTTCAGAGGATAATAAATAATGGTAAAATGTATTTCAATTCAATTCGCATTACAGCACTCTAACAAGTTACTTATTTCACTATAAAAAAACATCTTATTTCCCGTCTAGTCGTACTTTATTGGTAACACTAATAGTATTATTTCCGAATGCACTTTTCATCATATATTGATTTTATTCTAATGTCTAATCATCAATTTTTACTCATGTATATAAATGAAACAAGAAAGTTACACGAATACCTTGGTATGATTATGAACAGCAATAATTTGTGCTCAAAACATGGTCATCAGTGAATATAACTGTATAACAATACTGCGTGATTTTATCGAAATAAAATTTTATCCAGAATGGGGTATTGTTTTTAGTCAGTATGGTATGGCGCTCAGTCTACTATTCACATTATTCCTGTGTTATAGGAACAATGGCAGAAATGGTACTGAGAAATGAAATGCAGTTTTTTCTTGATCTAGTTGTAAACGTGGTGATTTTTGGTTCATGTCTTGCTGCCTCAGGCGCTTTCTATCTTTCATCATTCTTCAGTGTGTATACAAATGTTTCTCGCCTTAGTCGTTGTTAGTTACTTTCATTAGTGATAAGTCAGCCGTGTTGTAGGCTGGTATAACCAACTGATAACTCAAGGTTTAAAATTCATGCAGAAATTTACCGATTTATTTTACATTTCAAATTGATGCATTAAAAATAAGTAAAATCTAGGAATCTTTGGCAGTATGCACCTACCGGGGTTCGAACCCATGACCCACTGGTTATAAGTCAAGTTTTTATACCATTAAGCCACTGGGTTTAAGCTGCCGGAGAGTCCTAAAACAGGACAAAACGGCTGTACAGTCCAGTACTCCCTGATGGTCTTCAATGATTCGCTAGCTGATATCAATACGTGATCAAATTAGTACGATGCTCGCTAGTGACTGGCTTCAGGATGAATTTTCTTGGAGTTCTAGTAAGAATTCATGACAATTGGGATTTAGCAGGTCGGGCAGGAGGACAAATGCTCGCTGATGTCATTGTAGCATTAACTTCAAGGTCATGGGTTCGAACCCCAGTGAGTGTATACTTCAGGAATAAAATTAAAACAGTATTATGATGGACAAGTGTGAGAGTAAGATATTTGCTCCAAATATTAAAGACGATAATGAGTAGGCACTTTTTGATCTTTGGAAATAATTTCAGGTCTCATTACTAGGAGTCTGAAACAATTGATTTTTATCACCCCGAAAGACCTTGCACAATCTAGACTGACTGGAAAATACCGGCAACAAACTTTATGGATAGACTGTGTGCTTTAGTCTTGTCAGTTTTAGCTCCATTCCAAAATAATTTTACTGCATCCAACACTGCTTATCGAAGAAAGTGTTGAATTTAATTATTGGCTGTCATGTTAACTCAAAAGTTTGTCAGATTTCGTCTGCGCTATTTCTACTGACTAGTTCTTTACTTGAGTTAAAGAAAAAATATGTAAGGTGTCAAATTAATGAAGATAAACTTATCTACTTCCATTTTGCTATGCAATTAAAGTCTTTTGAATATATGTGTACAGTGTGTGTGTTCTTGAGAAGCTTTCCAGTGCAACAGAAAGCCATTAAGTGCATTTCAGCTCTCAGGTGTATAAAAGTTCTTTATTTAGTGTTTCTTCGGGTTCCTAATGGAATAAAGGACTTCAACAGGACTTTACCTCATTCTGTGCAGTCCTCTTTCGTTGGCTGAACGATCGTCTATAATTTCTGATCCCTTTCTTCTTCATGTCACCTAAGCACTGACGATCCACTCGTCGTTTCCCATTCAGATCCCACTCAAGCGATATCATTCGACGGTCTCCTTGGTGTATGCCTGATCCATTTCCATTTTCTTCTTCATATTTGTTGAACAATAAGTTCTTGGTTGGTTTTCTGCCTGCCAGAATTTCTTCTTCCAAATATTTTCTGACAGGCCATTTGATCTTCAGCGTGGAGCGAAGACAGTTGCTGATAAAAGTGTTCAGTAGCCAACTGAAAATGCTTTTGGTGACGTGTAGTACAAGTTCCTCACTCATATAGAAGAAATGTTGTAACACTAGTGCTTCAAATCCCAATCTTGTTCTTTATTCTGAGTGCAGAAGATCTCAATGTGATTTCAGAGTGATGAAGGTGTGCCTCACCTTTCCAATACTGGCTTTGACATCCTCATCCATGCTGTCTGTCATTAAAACGATGCTTCCTGGACAAGTGAAGTGAGCAATCTCTTTCAAATTTATTCTGTTGATGGCGATTGGTGTTTGCTGTTGTCGGTTAGCTATTTTCACGACCTCTGTCTTCTATATGTCCACTTGAAGTCCTGTCTTTGCCGTCTACTTCTTCTGCCACTTGGAGAGTCAGGTAAATTGTTGCAGAAACTTCAAAACACAAAATAATCATCAAAAATAAATTAAAATTTAGATATTAATTGAAAGGTCGCTTGATTTATCTGTTTCTGCCATATTATTTAATTTTTTTAAAAGTACAGAGTGATAGTATATTAGAAGACAAACCATTAGTATTAGTTTTCTCAATGCAAGCTTTCAAAGAAATAATATCGGTCTTTCGGTTAAACTGCTTAGTTTTCATGATATGTTGCTATTTTTGTGTTTAAGGTTTGAAGGATTCGCTAGTATTTTAGAATGTCAGAATTATATATTGTTCCAACCTAAATTCTTCTATTCATATTCATTCCTTTGAGTGGCCAGTGGAACTCATGGCTCCAGGGTTTGAGTTTTGAAGCTTGAGTAGTGGTTGTGTCGTTTTTACGGCATGGAGTTTCTAGCTTCATGTTTAAACTTTCCGCTTTACCGGACTTACTACCGGCTAGGGGAGGTGGAGTGAGTTGGTCAGGAATTGCAACCTGGACCAATTTCGTAGTCGGAGCGTATTCTACTACTAAAGCGCGATGAACTCACGTGCAACCGAAGTGGGTACAAACTCATTTGTCTTCTTTTATCTTAATTTTGAGCCCTATATAGTGAATTTTTTAAAAAACCTATTACAGTTTTTTGTCGTAGAATAATTAATGGTTCCGTTTACTCCTGGGCGGTTTTTGAAACGCATTGATTTATACTTCATTTAGGTACTCAACTATCTAAGTGAATCAACTGCGAATTAAATTTTAGTGTCCCATGTTAGCCATCAATCCCTCTGGTTTGCATTCACCAAAATAGGATGTCTAAAATTCTGCTGTGTAATCATTTTCACCCAGAAATCCTGACATTACATCACTTCTACAGTGATTTGGAGGGGGGAGAGGTGGTCGACTATGATATGCCTAATAGTGTCTAATTTCACTGGTGTGTTGAGTGAACTTGAATCTCTAAATTGGAGAGGATTTTCCCAAAAGTCTGTTGTAATAAAGGTCTGTTTCGTTCGTGGTTGTTTCTGCAGTACGATTTCTTTTTAGTGACTTGGTACAACCGTCAAAAGGCAGGTAGAATATCCTTTCATAACCACAAGATTAAGAGAGTTTGGAAAAGTTAAAATTTGGACCAGCATACAATAAGTTGAGATGTACAATTTTTGGGGCCGACATTTTCTAACATCCCTTATCCAGAGCTAGGAAACTGCATAATTAGCTTGCTGTTACTATTTCTCAATTCTTGTATTTTGCCCAAATTTCTTTACTGTTTCCCCTCAATTTTTACCGGGCTACTTAATAAAGACTTATTTATACTGAGTAGGGCGCTAAAAGCCGTTAGTAGGACGAATGGGGTATCGCTGAACCAACTCGTTAATACTATTGTGGATAGAAACTGGATTCCTGCAAGGAATGAGCAAATATTATCCTATCAGACTGTGAACAACTTCTCCATACACAACTCTCTTCTTGCATCCTATCGGGTAGAACTAGAAACGGCTATAGAAGACCGTATGCTCGGACGATAAGGTACAAAAACTCTACACTACCTTATTTGACCGGGACACATTTTATGTGATGAGAAAGGTGTGTCAGACAGGAAATTACCAACTTGCTGAAGAACTCTAAGTAAACGGTATTACTTTTTTTGTTCTCATTAATACATTATCGTTAATAATTTCACTTAATTAAATTTTATATTCATTTCTTATTGAATAATATTATTAACATAAATGCCCCATTTTAATTATTGCCCCAGTAATGAGAAAATTAGGTGCAATGTTATATTGCATTGCATGCTGAAAACTCCATATTTGCAACAAAAATACTGTTTGGAATAAAGCTACTACTATTAGTATTGCTAAAAGAACTCCGACAGACAACGAACCAACCAAGAACTTATTGCTCAACAAATATGCAGCAAGAAATGGAGAGGGACTGGGTAAACGCTGAAGAGGCTGTTCAGTGACATTATGTGACAGGCAGACTCTCGAGTTGAACCTGAATAGGAAATTAGTTGGGCGGTAGTCCAAGGGTAACGTGGAGAAGATCATATAAGGAGGAGATTGAAGCTTATAGATAATGGTAGAAGCAGCTGGAAACGGACTACATAGAACCAGTTGAAATGGAGATGTACTAATAAAGCTCGTTACCCAAGGGGACAGTAGTTTACCAATATGTAATGTACTTGCATAATACATTTTGAACAGTCTGATCACACACACAAGCAATAAGATTAAAATGATACTTTAAGTAAAGATGTATGCTTTCTTTTCTTTTTACTTAAAGAAGGTTCATTTCACCAAAGACCATCGTCTGCACTGGCTACATCTGCACTTCCATCTTACGTCAAATTTGATAATCTTCAAGATGCTGACTTTATACCGGAAGATGATAAGGGAAACGAGAAGGCAGATAATCGAATATTCAGTCTGCGTCGTTCTTTAAGTGTACCAGCAGAAATCTGGTTAACTTTATCACAACAGGAAGCAGGTATATTTGATTTTATTTATATACTTAAAAATTGTAAAAACAATTTATCTCCTACATTTATTGTTGTATTTTGTACTTCTGAGTCCTAGCGTTTTGATATTCCCACAGAAGTGGAGCATTTCAAGTCACTACACCCCATGTACCTCACAAAAGTAGGGAAAGTAGGAAGGAAAAGAGAAAATCAAAACAAGTGGTGATTCAGCGAAGAGACTCTTTTCAACGAATTTATTATCAAGCTGTACAATCGTATATATTTGGTTTTTTTAAGAAGTTATATCCAGTGGAAAGAGGCTATAGTCAGTTTCAAGGTCATGATGAGTTCCTGCGTCGGCTGGTTATGTGTTTCCGTGAATTCGTTTTCCATTGAATTTTAAAGGTTTTTTGAATGTTTTACGCATTTTGCAGTGTGTGTGTCAGTTTTTGTCACTGGATGCTTCTATTAAGCTTATATTTAGCCTGAATTTCCCAGTTATAATATTGGTAGTTAAGGATTATGGCAAATCTGCAATCATTGAGCCATTTCATGTATACTATGCTAATACAGTAACATTCCTTAGTAAGTAAACTCCTTAACTGTTCTGCCATTGTTGGATCAAACAGTGGCAGAACAGTTACTGATTATTTGCTTAAACTGGAACTGTGCGCTGTTTTATCTGCATGAGTGGCAATAATTCAGCACCTTTCTCTTCTTCTACGCATTTACAGACGTAGCTTATCAGCCTTATTGCAGCCCTTCTAGTCCAGGTTCTGCTCCTCCCAAGCTTACCATAATGCTGAATTAAATCTCACTAATTCTGAAATAATTCCAACGTTCTATAGTAAGTAAATTCTGAATCTGTTCTTAAGTAGATTCTTTAATGGCACAGTCTAGAACACAGTTGTGGTTTTCAGCATGACTGACAGTAATTCAACACCATGTTATTTTTCTAGACGTTTTCAGGAGTAGATCAGAACCTACTGGTTTTGCTTATCAGCTTTATTTAAACCCTTTCAGCTCATTTTCAGCACGGACTAGCTTAACTGCAGAACAAAGAGACTTAATTTAGCACATAGTGGCAATTTTTTGAGCTTGAATTTGGAAATTATATTTGGAAACTGTAGTACAATGTCACTGCAAATCCGTCAAGTTAGGTCCACTGGTAGCATCCTGTAAATAAGCAAAATAAAATATTAGCTGATGAAACATTGTGCTCATCACATTCTCAGCATTTACATTTAGAAAATTTTGCTTACATAGCTGCCACTGTTATATCCCCTGCTATCTTTTCCATTTGCCTAGAAATAAAAACAATGTTGTGATTACTACATGTTGACTTAACGTTGACTTATAAAACGAAGCGGGCGTTTAACAATATTACCTGAATTCCTTTCTTCAGGTTACGCCTTTGGACACGATCTTTCAAATTATGAATGTACGATTTCGTGGCCTAATCCATTATGTCACCAACCTCTCTCGATGTCATCAGTTGGTCGCTACAGAAATAAGTACTTCATTAATGAACCTTACATCTCGTGACTGAATTTCGAACATCTGAATATCCCTAAATTCCTTGATTTAAATGGTGTATTAAAATCATCACTAAAATCACAGTAGGGTCGAAAGCGTATCCTATCTTCACTTTCCATTTCAACTATATTCCCCCGGTTTACCTGAGGCTAAGATTACATTGTCCGGAGAATAAGAAGTAAATATGACGTACAGATAAGTTAAATTTCCTTTGCTAAACTTAAAGCCTTTAGTACTAGCTTCTTTAGGTACATGCTTGACACCTGTACTTTTCATTAAGTGCACGTGCTCAACATAACGCTGAGCTGCCTGCTTAGCCACAACATATCCACAGTGCACGAACTGTCTGATCATGCGCATATAGAATTCAAAGGGAAATGCACTGAATCCCTGTAATAGCCCATGCAGCTCGACGTCATCCACTGTACGTTTCTGAAAATGAATATTGTAAACAATATGTTCATCTCCGAAACAGTTCTCATATTGCAGTAAGGAATTACTCCAATCTGTCCGAACAGCATCCAAAAACAGTCGGCTGTATTTGGTACTCGAAAGTAAGTATACTGACAGGGAAAATTTCCTATAATTATAGTACTGGGGGGAGGCAGAATGTTCCTGAGTAAGCGAGACCCAAAATATAGTAGTTTTTAGAAGGACCAGGGTTATTTCAGTACATACTGGGTTCAATTCAAATAGATAAAATATTCATTTACGGTAAAAACGCATTATTGACGCGTTGGTTAGATTTTGCTGAGAACTGTTGCAAGGTTGGTCTTTTAAGTGTACTAGGCTTACTATAATATAAAAAAATTATATTCGTAAAGTCTCAGCGAGATTGAAATGAGTAATTCCAACGTTTCGTTCGGCAATCTGGACAAATTTTCAAAAACAAGTGATGTTCCTTTTTATATATAAACCTGTTATGTTAAATTCGATTAATTTCCCTGAAGAAGTTCGGACCAGATTGCCGAACGAAACGTTGGAATTAATCATTTCAATATCGCTGAGATATTACAAATATAATTTTTTACAAATGTCTACTTCTCACTCGGCGCCCTAATATTTTAGAACTATTCTGTCAAATCTTGACGACAGTTCATTTGAATTACTATAATATACCTCCAAAAGTGCATTTATACCTCACAAACTTATATTCCATAGGGCCAGATGGGTCTTTTTTTTACCTGTATCAAACCGATAGGATGTGTTGGATTCCTTTCAAAGAAATAATGAACAATTTAGTTGTTACCTTCATAGATGTATCAAAAGCTTGCTTAAGTTGCACCCACGTATAAAATACACAACTAAGCATTATTCTTTGGAATACAGCCATTAAATCAGACAATATAGATGACACTTTTCGTGAAGCAGAGGCTGCAGGAGTATTTTGTAACGTCATGTAATGGTTTTAACAATGACTAACGAACACAACATTATAATTTCAAGTAAATGAATAATAGTATATATTTCAGTGCCCATAAACCACTGTTGTGACCTAGTAAATTTAATTGATTTATGCTGACCTAAGATGCACAAATCCCACAGGTCACTGAACTGACAACCTAAAAAGTGGATCAGTTAATACATATATATGTGCTCATTAAATACTCATTAATTGTCTAGACACTGTGGTTTAATCACATTCTTCTAGTAAGCAAAAATGCACACGTCCTATTTTAGACTTAAAATATATCTATGAAAATTATCGTTGTCTCATATTCACTTACTAAACATTCTCAGACATCCCAATCAGTCATGTTCGTCTACTAGGCAAAAATGCACACATCCTATTTCATACTTAAAATATGTGTATCAAAATTACCGTTGTCTCATATTCCCTTACTAAACATTCTCAGACATCCCAATCAGTCATGTTCGTCTAGTAGGCAAAAATGCACATATCCTATTTTAGACTTAAAATATATGTATCAATATATGTACTGTTGATTTATATTGACTTAATATACAATTTCAGATATCTTAATGTACCTTTATGTACCACTAATGCATCCAAATAGCCTGTGAATCATCACACTACACTCACACCCATAAAATTAACACGTGATTATATTATGGTAAAGTACGTTCAATTAAACTGCCTGTAAATTTCCGTGTCAAAATAACAAATTACCGCTTAATTTATATTTTAGACCAATAAGAAGCCAGTTAGCCAACAGCCAATAAAAATCTGCCTATATCGCTTTTCCAGTGAGGTAATTGAATCAAAGGTGTGAATCCATAAAATAATAATAGTAGTATGAAATGCAATCAAAGTGTTTTTGGTTATTATCATAGTTAAATGTCAAGTTACAAAACTATTAATGTCATCTGTAGAATAATTCACAGCGTGTATAGAACTTGGAGGGTGTGTGCAATTATAGGATTAATAGGCAAGTCGAATAAAAAGACACTTACTGCGAAGAAAATTTTTTCTTTTCGATGAAATCATCAACTAGGCTGTACATTCGTGTAATTATAATAAATGGGTGGGAAAATTCCAGAACAATTTCCGGTCAAGGGTCAGATTAATAAAATTACAATTAGGAATTAAAGTGCCATAATAAACAGGGGGACAGATAAAACTCAAACAAGGTAGCATCATAATTATTGAGAAGATTTATATATTGTCCAAATGGGAGTTAGAAATGTAGAAATAACAAAATAGACAGGTTGTTTGGATAAAAAATCTAGTGGGATCATAACTAATAGTGACTATCCCATTACCTTTCGTATCCAAACTTCATGTTTATTCATGTTATTTTTAAGTTCTTCTTAATTCTTATATACACTAGCATATTTTCATATCCGAACTTCCTGACTTTTTTGTTATTTCTACATTTCTAATCCCCAATTGCACAATATGTTAATCTTGTCAGTAATTATGATGCTACCTTGTTTGAGTTTTATACATTCCCCCATGTTTATTATGGCATTTTCATTTCTAATTGTAATTTTATTAATTTGACCCTTGACCGGAAATTATTCTGGAATTTTCCCACCCATTTATTATAATTACACGAATGCACAGCCTAGCTGATAACTTCGTCGAAAAGAAAATTTTCTTCGCTGCAACTGTCCTTTTATTATTCCCTACGATCAAATGTGTATATTCCGTGAAATCGGATGAAATAAAGACGTTACGTAACACTGTGTGGAACTCGCTAGACCCAAGTCTATTTTCTCACCTCTTAACTCTTTATTAATTTCATAAATATACAGTCCTATGACAAGTCCGTGTGTGTGACAGACGAAATGCGTCTTCTTATTGCTTTTCTAAAGTAGAATTTAACGTTCCAAAACAAAATTGATTTTGAATGACAAGTGGAACGAGTTAAATAATACGGGGACAAATCAAAGTGAGAATAGTAATGGTAACAACTAACGCATTAAAGGAAGAGTATACAAACTGAATATGATAAGGGATTATCATACTTTAGCATAGGGGGATTAAGACCATGACAGTTGGAGGGGATGAAAGAACTTTTTCTGTATA